CCCCCCCCCCCCCCCCCCGGTTTTGGAAACATCATATTTTGCAATGAAATCAGATTTAAAACACCTGTTTTATGTTAACTATAAAGATAAATTTTATTTCCTTAATCTTTCACCTGGGGAATGAGTTAAGTAAAACTGGGCATCAAAAAATAACAGGGCTATTTGACTTTTAGTTTAGCTACTTATTTTTATCTTTCAGTGAATGCGTCTGACTGCAGTTTATTGTGCTGGCAGTGAAAGGAGGGAAGTGTGGTACATGAGTCTGGAAGAGTCCACATGCTTGGACACAGCAGCCTTCTAGGCCTCCAATATCTTTTTGCAGTCATGGAATTAGTTTCATTTCTATTCTGGTGTTGCCACCAACTAGCTGTCTGACCTTAGTAAGGTGACTTCATTTCTCGTTTCTCTAAATCTCACTCCCTTATCTGTAAAATCAAGGATTGAACTAAAAAGTCTCCTCCCAGGTTTATACTGTATAATTTCAATTGATCATAGTTTCTTTCTATTATGTTTTTCTTTATATAAATAGTCCAGAAAGCTGGTTTAGAAAAGAATCTGATTAAGAAAACACACACACACACACACACACACACACACACACACACGTAAAATTAAGGAGAAGAAAAACTTCTCAATTCCTAACATTTTCCAGTCAGAACACAGAGCTCTCCCTTACCTGAAACTATGGATTACATATATTTTTTTCATAATAGTAACACTCAATCTAAAGTGGTGGTGATTCAAAATATTCATCCTAGTTGAATTTCTTCTTAAACTCCAATTAGCATATTTCTGATTATTATAATTGTTGAATGGTGTCTGTCCAGTGCCAGAGTGTCAAGTTCTTCATTACAAAGTCCCTGCCTGTGTTTTTTCCACCTCTATCATTAATTTAAAAAAAAAATCTAGTGAAGTTAAAACAAAGAGACTTACTTTTTGTCTGACTCTAGTTCTTACTGTCTGACTCCAGGAATCATATTGTGGCATTAGAAAGTACTACAGACCCCCTCCAAGGTTTTCTTTTCTTTTCTTTCCTCTGTTAACTGCATGCTTATTATTTATGGCAGAATGGAAGGCTCACAGTGAAATTCTTAACTGTTCTTTATACTGTATAAGGGCTGTTGAAGATATGAATGTTGTTAAAATCCTTTGGAATTAATGTCTGTCACATCAAAGGACAATTACCTGAGAACACTATTTGATAGGAGCTATAAATAAATACCAACATCAAATCCCTTTCTAAGGATTTTACTTCAAATTTTCCAAGCAAAATTTGTTTCACTTTTAATACCAAAAAATAATTACTGAGTCAGGACAGTGGACAGGATAGAGAGAAACTCAGTGGGGGGTGGGAGAGGGAGAGGGAAGAGAAAATATCCTATAAGTTCTGATCAGCATGATAACTAGCAAAACAAGTAAAAGTTGGAGAGCGGTAGCCATGGAGGATGAGAGAAATGACCATTCTCTTTCCCCAAGAACCCTGGCCAACTGGGTAATAAATGAATCATAGCTGGTGGGTGGAAGGAATGTTCTCATATATATTTTACTGAGAGAGTTCTGTCTATCTGAGAGAGCATATATTATTGAAACTATTTT